TTTTGTAACCTGCTTTTCTCATTCAACCTTTATAAACATTCTTAGTGACCTCTCACTAATTTTTTGGTTTGTTTAGTTGTTTTGGTTTATTGCTTTTCCCAAAATGATCAGTTTCATTTTGCTGATTACGAAAATACAGAGAAGTATCTGTAACACATGGACCCTACCTTTAAGCTCCTTATTCAATAGCAGTAAAGATAAAAGAAATATAATCTCATAAAAGGAGCCTGGCTGATAATGCTCACAGATTTCAAAAATTAATTAATTCAGAGACATGTAATGCAAAAGTTCTCCAGAAACCTTACTTCTAAAAGAACAACACATTTTTGTGTTTATCTTCTCAGGTTTATATCTATGCCCATTTAAAAACAAAGCTATAGAGGCATATGCAATTTCTTAACAAAAATTTGTAATATACATACTGTTTTTAACTTGCTTTGTTTGTTGAAAGACACGGTTTTTACTTTTTGGCTTGATTTTTGNTGCTACTATGAACTCGCTCTATTTGGTATTTCAAGAATTAGCCAAGCCCCACTTGTCAGAGCTGGAGAAATGCTAGCTGCAGTCCTCTGGCTTTCAGGAGCTAACATTCTGCAATGTTCTGGTTTCATGGTGCTCAATGGTCAAAAATAAGTGTCCAGGTGGTTCAAACACAACAGTGGGGACTCATTTGCCATAAGAGGCATTCATTCATTCACTCATTCATTCATTAAGCATCTGTTGAGTGCCCAGCCCTATCCATTACCCTGCGTACCCAGAAGAAAGGAGCTGGCAGCAAGAGTGGGCAGGGACTAGGGTTATTGTTGGCCTGAAACTGACTAGATGGTGGCTTCACGCTGCTCTCTTCCACATCCTACCCTCCTGCCGCTGCCTTCCAGTTCCTGGCAAGGAACAGTGCTAGCAACTAAATGCCATCGGGCTTGGGGCAGAAGAGCTAAGTGCGCCCATCGGTGCTGGGGTCACCAATCTTGCCTCCAGCAGTCACTTCTGTTCTTTCCCAGCATGAATTTTATGACCTCAATGCATTGGTTACTCTGCACGCACAGGTATGCGAGTCAATTTGTACTCCTCACCTTACTTGACATCTCATGACATCTGACACAGCTGATCAACTCCCACCTTCAACTGTTGTTTTTCTCTTGGCTCCTAAACTATTGGGTAGTCGGAAAAGTCATGGCGTATTTTTTTCTCTGTTTTTTTGTTACAAAAATGCGTCGTGACTTTTCCAGCAATCCAGTATCACACTTCTGGGTCTGCTTCTCGCTTGGTGGCCCCGCTGGAAGCCCTCCTCCTCTCTGGCTCTCTGCATCAATTCCCAGCCCTTCTCTTCACACTGTGTTCACCCCTTAGGGATCTCACGCTGTCCTGCGGCTGAAGTACTATCTGCATCTAAATTTCCAATTTACAGCACAAGCCCTAACCTTTTCCTTAAACCCCAGACTTAGTCACTTGGGTATTGCTCTAGTTATCCATTATTGTGTAACTAATTGCCCCCAAATTTAGCAGCTTAAAATAACAAACATTAGCTCTTTCCATGCCCAGTGCAGCCATGGTGCGTGGTTCTAAGAAGCATCTCAAGCGCGTCGCAGCAGCAGGGCACTGGATGTGGGAAAACTGACCGCTGTGTGTGCGCTCCTCGTCTATCCACCGGTCCCACAAGCTGAGGGAATGTCTCCCCCCTCGTCATCTCCCTAAGGAACAGACTGAATATGCCCTAGCCGGAGATGAAGTCAAGGTCTGTATGCAGAGGTTTAAGATTGATGGCAAGGTCCGAACTGAGGTCACCTACCCCGCTGATGTGATGGATGTCATCAGATCGACAAGACCGGGGAGCAATACCGTCTGATCTGTGACACCCAGGGTCGCTTTGCTGTTCATCACATTACACCTGTGGAGGTCAAGTACAAGCTGTGCAAAGTGACGAAGATCTTTGTGGGCACCAAAGGAATCCCACATCTGGTGACTCATGATGCTCACACCATCCGCTACCCTGGTCCCCTCATCAAGGTGAATGACATCATTCAGATTGATTTGGAGTCTGGCAAAATTAGATTTCATCAAGTTTGACACTGGTCACCTGTGCATGGTGACCCGCGGTGTCAACCCGGGAAGAATAAGTGTGATCACCACAAAGAGAGGCTCCCTGGTTCTTTTGATGTGGTTCACATGCAAGACGTCAATGGCAACAGCTTTGCCACGGCTCTCAAACATTTTTGTTATTGGCAAAAGGGACCAACCATGGATTTCTCTTCCCCATGGAAAAGGTATCCGCCTCACCACTGCTGAACAGAGAGATAAGAGACTGGCGGCCACACAGAGCAGTGGGTGAAATGACCTCTAGGTGACATGACTGGAAGAGTCTTCGTTCCCAATTAAAGATAATACAGCATTAAAAAAACAAAAAACATTATCTCACAGTTTCCGAGGGTCAGCAATCCAGAGCAGCTTCGCTGGGTAATTCTGGCTCAAGCTCCCTCAGGAAGTGTGGTGTTCTGAGGTTGGGGGGACCCACTTCCAAGCTCACTCACAGGGCTCTTGGCAGGAGCCCTAAATTCCTGACCACATGGACCTCTCCCTAGGATTGATTGTGACATGGCAGTTGACTTCCATGTGATGAGAGCGAGCGAGTGCAGCCAACACGTAAGTTGCAATGTCTTTCAGAGCCTCATCTTGGCATTGACTTACCAATACTTCCTCCATGTTCGGTTGGTCACAGACCAACCCTAGTACAATGGGGGAGGTGGGGGGGTAGGGAACACACAAGGGTGTAAATACAGGGTGTAACAGGGTGGGGATCACTGGGGGCCATCTTAGAGGCTGGCCACAAGTACCTAAGTGATATCTCAAAATTAACATATCCTAATTCAAAATCTGTACTCACCAGCCCCCAAAACTCGCTTTCCTGTCTTCTCCACCTCAGTAATTGACAGCATCATTCAGTTACTCAGGCCCCAAACCTTCAAGTCATCCTCAACTCTTTCTCATGCGTTCATTGATTCCATCGGCAAACTCTGTGCATTCTGCTTCCAAAACATATACCAAATCTGATCCTGCTTTTAACCCCAAACACGACCACTCCAGTCCCAACCAACACCTCTCTCCTAGTTTAACTGCTTCCACCGCCGCCTCTGCAGTGCAGTCTCCACAGTAGCCAGAGTGAAGATTTTTTAATGTCCGATCATGGCACTCCCTTGTTCAGAATTCTCCACTGGTTTCCTCTTTCAATCAAGAAAGCAAACTCCTAAAGCTTTGTGTAATCTGGTCCCCACCCATCTGCCCACCTTTCTCTCCTTCCTTCACTTACTCTAACCACATTGACCATTTTTCTGTGCCTCCAACTAACAAGCTGACTCCCACCTCCAGGTTTACATTTGCCAGACCATTTCGCATCATCTCCGGGACACTGAGAAGGCTACATCCCTCCTCCATCAGGTCTCTGCTCCACTGTCGCCGCCTAAGAAGCACTCTCCCTCCCCTCAGGTAATTTAGACATGGCGTCCCTTCACGTAATCTCCATGAGGGTCTTGTCTTTGTCTTGTTCACTGCTGTGTATTCTCCTCATTGCCCACAACGGTCCCTGCCATATAGCTGGCACTCGATAAACATATGCTGGATTAATGAGTGGAATAGACACACTTACTAGAGTTTTAAAAAGTCCAGCCTCAAGAAAAACCTGAATCATTAAGGTGCTGTAGGAATATATAGATGTGGGAGGGCCCCAGAGTGAGGGCATTACATGCTGTTTCCATAAGCATCTGTCAGGCTCTCTGCAGCACATTACAAAGCTCAGAGGAGGAGGAAAAAAATATGGACTATAAAATTGCTACTTTCTGATTAAGTACAAGTGTAGGTCATGTATACACTTTCCTAGCCTCTCAAATCCACTTGTCCTGCTGTAGTGTAACCTAAAACCTACCATGTCACTCCCTTATCTAAAACCCTACACTCACCGGTGCCCTGAAGGCCCACACTTCTCCCTGTGGCTTACACAGAGCTTCCTGACCTCACCATTTACCTCACTATCTTCATTTCTTGCCTCTTTCTACTCTGGGTACCATGCTCCAGCCAAACTGAAATGCTGGCTCTTTTCCAAGCACACATTTTCTTTTGTTTCTGTGTTTTCGCCCATTCTGTTTTCTCTACCTGTAACATTCCTCCTATCCCCTCCTGTCTCAGTTAACTTGTGCTGCACAACAAACCTCCGCAACTGTCTTCCTTCAGCAGGTTCTTTGCATGTCTCAGGGTTCCAGCAGGAAGAGGAGTCCCAATGTGCAAGTATTTTTCAAGTCTCTGCCTGTGTCATGCTCGCTAATACTCCACTAAGCAAAGAAAGACATGGCTAAGTCCAGATGGAAGGGGTGGAAAAATAATTTCCACTTCATGGGAGCAGCAGTATAATCACAGTAAATTAGGGGCAAACATACAAGGATGGAGGGAATTACCATAGCTCTTCTTCGCAAGCATCTTTGTCAGCTCCTACTCATCTTCCGGTCTCAATCTAGAAATCACCTCCTCTAGGAAGATTTTCCTAATCTCTCAAGCCTGGGTGAAAAACCTCTCCCATGACACTTTGTACTCACCATTATTGCATGTATTACTTTCTATTGCCAATGAATGAATGAAAGAATGAATTTATATGATAAATGTTGGGCCTCCAATTCATACAGTTGAGTTGACGCTACTCTCTATTTTATGGCAATGTAATATCTGCCTTCCCTCCCTCATGGGAAAGACACTGAAAGGAGGGAGCGTGTTTTGGTTTCTGTTTTATCTTCATTCCCTAGTATAGTAGCTCATTTGAAGTAGGTCCTTAAAAATATCTGTGAAATAAACACATAACTATAATAAAAGTAAAATGGGGCAATTTCCATTTCAAAAAGGCACAAAGAGTGTTCTTGAGACCCCTGCAAGGCCCAGCAGGCTGCAAATATTTAGGAAAATCTGAGCATAAAAGTAACTGAAATAAGAATAAAATGCTCACCAGAGGGGAGAGAAGAAAATCAGCCAGAAAAAGCAACACTTTCCTTTTATTAGACTCACAACGCCTTTTAAAAGTCCAACTTCTCCCTGTAAAATGTTTCTTTGTTATCACCTTCCTCATTAGAAACCAGACAAACTCTGTCCCTGAAAAATGTTTTCTCCTTGGTACAGCGCTTGGTCCCCAGGCCTGCGTCTGCATGGTGTGCCAGCAATCAAAGTCCAGCGTCTCAGAGAAAAGCACTGTGAAGGCCAGAAGTCAGGGCCTCCATACTTCATATATACACACAAACCCACACATATGTGCATACATGTACACATACTTTTTTTTACAAAAATAATATGCCAGGTTTACACAGCTCTATTCTATAAAGTTTCATAGCAAGGTCTATGCTTCAGTATAACCATTTTTGACTTTGGAATAAAGTGGGAATTTTAGGCCTAAAAATAGATTTAAGATTATGGAACACAGGCCATATAGCAATACAGACTTAATAAATCTTGATCAACAGATAACTGTTATCCTAATGCTCGGTGCTACTACACATCCCCATCGATTATTTTCATTTTAACTAAAATACAAAATAGTTCAGCGAGATCATCTCCTATTCATTACATTAGCACATATACCAAATTATACTAACTGCATGATAATCTCTATGCACCAAGGCTACATTTTTAGCATGTGTTCATCTCTACTTCATTAAATACAGTACCTAGACAGCAACCACAAAAAAAGGAATGCATGCTGCACAGCAAGGGAAGAAGAGAATAATTTGCAGGATGATATCTAACTTACATGGCACCCAAAACAAAACAAGAAAGAGAAACAAACCTTACAAGGTAGATATCAAACTAATTTGCAGCAATATTTAATATATAGTTTTGTCAGAAGGAATACAGTTAGATCACAGCTACATAGAAAGACACATAAACTATGTGACATTCTAGGCTTTTTCCTAGAATATTCAAAATGTTCTTCAAAAGTTAGGCCACCAGGTGACTGAATAAAACAGAATGTCATTTAGTATTTTAAAAACACAGATTCTGGGAACAGAAGCTACCACCAAAATATCCAGCAATCTGAGTGAACAGATAATCTATTTTGTATACTTGATACTAAGAAGTGTTTACACAGACTATGAAGACAAGGCAATAGCCTATGGGGTAGTCACAGAAAAGAATAAAGATAAATGAACACAATCTCGCCAGAGTGAGTACAGAGAGCTCCTGCTGTTTTTTGGTCCCCAACCAGACCCCAAACAAGGACCATCTCTTTGGGGAAGAAACCTTTCAATAGCTCAAGCCCATTCCCTAGGCCCCCACCAAGATACAGCACAGCCCAAGCTCGGCTCTGGAAGTCTTTCAGATGCTGGTATGACGCTTGATCATTCAACTGACAGGCCCTTTCCATGGCCTCTCGGGTTCTGACGAGCACACCCAAGTCCTTCCCACAGGAAGGGGTCAGCACTGTTTCCGAAGCCACAAATGAGGTAACTCTAGAAGAATCAGAAGAAGGAGGTATCTGATGAAAAGGCACCTGCCAGTCTGAAATCCTCTTTGGTGAGCACGCTGTACATGCGCTGGGGCAGAGCTCGGGAATACGGGGCGGGGCGGGGCACGGTGGTGCGCAGCAGCAGCTCCCGGCCAGCAGGGGGCGGGAAGTCGGACACCGAGTTCTGCCTTCTCTCTTCTGGAGGGCCCATTCTCTTCAGTTCCTCCTC